GTTGCATTTCTATACTCGTCCGGGCTTTCCTGGCAAGAAATTGAGTCCAAGATTTTTTCTGAGTCATTGCAGGTAATTAACAATTATCACAGGGAGGAAAACATTTTACTAGTTTCTATAGAGGCATTGTCCTGCTCTTGATATAGGGCCCAGTGGATTTAGCATGTATAATTTCTCCTGAGCTCTATTGGCAGGCACTATTCCCACATCTTTCTTCTTTTTTTCGTTTGTTTAATTTTTACTGTGATTTTGGTGAATTCCCACATCTTTCTTGCTAAACAAAAGAAAGAAAGAAAGAAAGACCTATTTTTTGTTGTTTTACATATGGATGTGATTTTTTATTAAAAAAAAAAAAAAATCTGTTGTTGTTTAAGTGAAAGTTTACAGAGCAAATTGGTTTCCCGTTCAGCAATCTATGCACGGATTATTCAGTGACATTGGTTGCAATCCCCACAATGTGTCAGCACTCTCCCCATTTCCACCTTGGGTTCCCTGTTTCTGTTCACGTTTTCCTGCTTCTTAACTTTGCTTTTGGGCAAATGCTGCCCTTTGGTCTGGGATGGCTGATTGTTCTGAGGAGCATGTTCCTCCAAGGTGTCATTATTCACTTTATAGGCCTGTCTTTCATGTGGCTGAAAGGTGATCTCCAGGAGTAGCTCCAATTCTAAATTAAAGGGTGTCTAAGGGCCACAGTCTCAGGGGTTCCACCAGTCTCAATCAAACCAATAAGTCTGGTCTTTTTTACGAATTTGAATTTTGTTCTATCTTTTTGTCCCACTCTCGCCCGAGCCTGACGCCGTGCCGCCGCCGCTCCCCGCCCACTCGGATAAGGGCGTGCAGACCCCGGGCAAGGGGCCGCCGGCGCCGGTCCCCAACGGCAACCCCAGGTACTGTCGCCTGTGCAACATCCGGTTCAGCAGCCTGTCCACCTTCATTGCCCACAAGAAGTACTACTGCTCCTCGCACGCCGCCGAGCACGTGAAATGAGCCGGGCACCGCAGAACCGCGCTCCCGGGACGCGGACGAGCCCGGGGCTCAGAGGACTGGGACCGCAGGGGCAGCGCCCGCCTGGACCCTTGGCACTTAATAAAGACGTTCAGTTTGCACGGGCCTCGTTCTCTGAGCAGAGAGGCAAGGGGGCTCTGGGGGCAAGCCCTGGCCGGGTCCTTGGGCATGGAGCTCTGTCCACCAGCAGCGCGCGACACCGCCCCGAGGGTTCACAGGCCAGTGGGCCCCGAGCGGGCGGGGTCTTTGCCGCAGTCACACAGCTGGCATTGGTTGAAGCCCCCATCGCTCTGATACCAAGGATGCCAGGCTTCCCTTCCTCCGAGACCCAAGCAGGAGTGCTGGCCTAGCCGCCAGGTACTAAGGGCCTAGCGCCGGCTGCCCAAAGTCCTCCCGCCCTGCTAGCTCTGGGAAAAGTGGATGGCACCTGTCCCCTCTGACCACCAGGAAGGGTCTGTGGAGGGCAGAGAGGAGGGAGCCCATGGTTGCTGGGGCAGGGGGCAGGGCGGGACGGGCTGGAGTGCAGGCACTGGGAAGAGGCAGCTGGGGGTCACATTTGAACATGGTCCCAAAGCTTTCCTGGCAATGATGTGGGGGGCCAGATTCTGACCCACATGCTTCGTACCTGTGGGTGCACTCCCCAGTGGAGAGCAGCTGGGCATGGCTGTCGCGGGTGCTCCTGGCACAGGGCAGCTGGGGACCTGGAATGGTCACCCATGTGCACAGGCTTTTCCCCAGCCCCTGCCTTGAGCTTGGCCCCCACCTCCAAGGTCACTGGGTAGTCAGGCGTCCTGTGCCCTGCCTAGGGGCTGAAAAGCCTCAACCACCCGGACTTAAGCTCGCCCGCTGCAGACAGGTGGAGAGACAGCCCAGGCTGGTGGGGGGCACGCTGCCGCTAATGGGTAGGGGCAGAGCATGCAGCCCTAGTGTGCCCCTTGTGTGCACTGTTCTGTGTGGATGTGCATGGAGAGCCTTCCTCTCGTCTGGCCCCTAAGTGACCACAGGTAGGGCCCTCTGGTTTCTGAACACACTGTTCAAAACCTGACTCATGGAGAAAGAGCTCACGTGTACATTGGAAATAAACTTTTTAAAGCGCTGGGGAACACGAGGGACGTGGTCTCCGAGGATGAACAGATGTTGAAAGGGGGAGAAACCCACGCAGGCTCATCACGGTGGGCAGCAGGGTACCATCACACAGACACAGACACAGGTGGAGCCGTGTGTAAACTAAGGCTGCAGGGCCTCACCCCTGTGCTCCCAGGTGGGCCTCAGTTTCTATGCCTGCAGAAGGGGGTCAGGAGGTGGCACACGATCCTGCAGCCCCTTAGGGAAGCTCAGGCGGCAGCGCCAACACTGACCTCCAGTGCTGGCCAGGCTGAGCTGTGCTCGGGGGAGGTCCCCAGCCCGGAGCCCATAGTCCCCCAGGGCCCCAGGACAGATGGCCACTGAGGCATGATTGGGCAGCACCCAGAGTCGTCAAGGGCCCGGCCGCCCTCCCCATCCATCAGCTCCCCCAGCCTGGGCTGACCCCCTCCCTGCCCTGAGCCCATCCCACCTCCTCGGAGGACTCAGCTCCAGCCACACCCCTGTCCTCCACACCCTAGAGACTCCATGCCCCTGCCCCCCAGTGTGTCTCCATCCCTCCCACTGCCCGTCCATGTGCTTGGTGCCCGCGCGCTCTGCCTCCCCCATCCCACTCCAGAGGGTCATCCCTGACCCTCCATCATGCCACCCGGGGCGTCTCCCTCGTAGGCCAGCCACCCTGAGCTCCCCTGCATGTTGTGAAGGAACAGGATAAACGGACAACAGAGCCAACGAGCTGCCCCCCCAGTCCCCCATCGGTGTCCAGATCAGGCCGCACTGACGTCACGGCTCCAGCCAGCCTCACAGTCCACTCCTGGGATTCCCTCCTGCCCGTGGTGCCCTCTCCCTGGACATGTGCCCTCCCAGCGAGTGGCAGCAGGTCCTCATGCAGGGTCTGTACACACGATGGCCATCATCTCTGCCTGACACCATGCCGGCTCCTCGTGGTCCCTCTGCCACCCCAGGAGCCAGGTTCTGATGAGGTCACCCAGGCTTGGACGAGCCAGGTGGCCTAGAGTCACCGGCAGCTGAAGCCAAACATGAGCCCAGCTGCCCGCTGCTCCCAGCACCCATTCTCGGACAGGGCTGTGGGAGGACCCCCGCCCAACCCTGGCTGCAGGTGCCTCAGGGCCCCCAGAGGTTGGTAGTTGGTGCTCTGGGCAATGTAGTGCCCACCCCCAAGACCACCTGAATGCAGTAGTCTCCTCCCAGGCCCTGCCTCAAGCCCCAGAATTGCCCAGGTGAATGGCTCAGCGCTCGCCTCTTGGAAGAGCACAGGTGGCACCTTCTGGCCCCAGGGGGGCAGCAACAACCCATCTGAGCGGCCAGGGGGTTCAGAGGAGTGCAGCAGGCAGGGGAAGGGCCCACAGAGCGTCCCACCCCCTCTGTGCAGGGAAGGAGGGAGAAAGAGCAGGTGGCCCACCACCCTGCCACTGTCCGCCCACCCTCCACCAGTGCCCCCAACCCACCCATCAACCAGGGGGTTGACAAGGACGAGAGCTGCTCCCATCCCACGGGGTAGCAGCCCCAACAGGGGCACATGCAGGAGGCAGCCTGCAGTGTCGACCTTGGACAGCATCCATGTTGACAGAGGCTTGGTCCCTAGGTGAGGGCCCTGGGGAAGAGCACTAACCACTGAGCAGCACAGGAGGGAGAGGTGCCCAGCGACCCAGGGCACCCTCGGTGCCCGGCTCTCGACAGTGGGCACAAGACAGAAACCACCTGCTGCGGTGGGTCCCTGCTCATGACAGAGGCAACTCCACGTTCTAGCCGAGCCCCACCCCAACTCAGAACACCCAGAATTCCCTTCCTCATAGGGGTTGTCATCAAAGAATGCCATGTATACTGACAGCCCTGGCAAGAGGAGGAGTTGCCCACCGCGTCAACTAGAGCGCACTGGGTTTATGTGAGAGGAGCACTGTTTTCAGACAGGGAACATACGAGCTAGAAGTGAGAGCTAGAATGGCAGGCTCACTCAGGTGGGCAGTGCTGAGTTTTCAAAAGCCAGCCTACAAGGTCAGCAGTTCGAACCCACCTGTGGCTCTGTGAGAGAAAATACTGACAATATGCTCCATAGAAATTCCAACCTAGGAAATCCTGGGGGCAGTTCTCACCTGTCACATGGGGACACTAGGCATCGGAGTCGACTCAACGGCACCCAACAAGTGGGTTCCGAGTAATGAAGCTGCAGTGACTGGGTCTGCAGTCCGTCATAACTGAAGGAAGGTCTTAGAGAGCAGAGGTCTTTCTTTCATTCGTTCCCATCATCCTCCTGTGGTGGGGACTGGTTCTTTCTGAGAGGAGAGTCAGAAACACCCTTCCAGATCAGGCTGACTTCGGGGTGAAGTTCCTACAATTAGCCAATGGGTTCCCAAGGCTATGAGTCTTTACAGAAGTAAATTGTCTCACCTTCCTCCCACGGAGCAGCCAGTGGGTTTGAACCTCCAGCCCTCAGGTTAGCAGCCGCATGCCTTGTGATAGAACACTGAAAATTCCCTGTTGTCTGTTGGGTTGGTACCTGGCATGATGACCATCTGATTTCTTTGTTCTTAGAAAGGTTTTTGCACCTGGCACAACCCAAACAACCTGAACAACCTGCTGTCAAGATGATTGCAACGCATAGCAACCCTGCAGGACAGAGTGGAACTGCCCCCACAGGGTTTCCAACATTGCCTCTTTAGGGAAGCTGACTGTCTCATCTTTCTCCTGCAGAGCAGCTGGTGTGTTCGAACCTGTCACGTGGGGGCACTGACCAGACCTTTTGGTTAGCAGCCAAGTGCTTAACCACGGTGCCACCAGGGCTCCTCCCCTGGTACAAACCGCCATGGATCTTTAGTTCGTATTGAGCAGTGCAAAAGCTCACCTAGGAGCAGGGCACTGGGGGCCCCCGTGACCCTCCCGGCCCCTGTACTTGCAGCAAAACACCCCAGAGCCATCACGGGATCAAGAAGGGCTGTGTGAAGATGCTCTTGTGGCCCCACGTGATCACCGATGTCAACTAAGAACATCCTCTAGAAACAGTGAAAGCACGTCATGCAGCGCAGCCCTCAGCCGCCAGGGCACACATTTCCAATACCTGTAGAACTGCTGTGGAGTCGCTTGACTCATAGTGACCCTTCCTGGGTTTCTAAGGCGGAACCTCTACGGAAGTAGATTGCCCAGTCTTCCTACCAAGGAGTGGCTGGTGGGTTTGAACCGCCAGCCTTCTGGTTAGCAGTCCAGCGCCTTACGGACTATGCCACCAGAGCTCTTTTGGTAGAACTCGAAGTGCACTCTGGCCTGTGAGGGGTGAGCTGGTGGGGAGTTCACGGACCCCCGGACTGGGGGCTTTGTGGGAGGATGGCCAGGCTCCCAGGGAGTATCCAGGAAGGGTCCTTGGGGACAGAGGTGGTGAAGGCGGAGGCTGCTGGCGGAAACCAGTGGCAAGCACAGGTGCCCTTGGGGGGATGCAGGCACCCAGGTGACCCCGGGGGCCTCAAGGGCCTCCGACAATGAATGGCGCCCCCTGTGAGCAGCACGTCTGTCTCTCTCTCGGTAAGTCTCTTTCTCGGTTACACTCTCTCTTTCACTAAATCACGGCATTAATTTAATCCAGCTTCTGTTTCACAGTTTCAATATTTCATGAAACCGTATCTCAACACCAGAAGTGCTGGGAGGGCATAATCTCAGAACGAAAGACGGCCTTTGGCATGAAATAAATTTGGCTCCGTGAGATTCCCTGCTCTGCGCTGTTCTCACGTCACTGCGGACTGACGGGAAGGTTATCGCACAGGTCGTGGGCCACGGTTGGGAAACTTCTGTTCCTGCCTTACCCTTCCCTGCTCTCATTTGTCTCACAGGAGAGACAGCCGTCGTAGGGGAGGCGGAGCCGTCGTAGGGGAGGCGGAGCCGTCGTAGGG